ATATATATATATATATATATATATATATATATATAACAAATTTCAAGTACACGTTTAAAATANATTTTTAATATGATTTTTTGCTATATATGAAAAAAAATGTAAATTAGAATAAGAGATTGAAATACAAGATAGCAAAATCTGTATTCTAATAAATGTAGTAATAAATGTAATATTCTAATAAATTATTTTTTGTATGTATTTTATGTACATATAATTTACAAAATGAGAAAATAATTTTACATTTTTAATATTTATATTTTATAAAAATTTAAAAATAAATTTTTTATAAAAATATTATGTGAATTATTTTATTTTAAAATAAATAAATTAAAATAAATATTTATAAATCATTATAATTCAAAAAAATATAAAAAAATTAATTTAATTTTAATTTAATATAATTTTATAATAAATTTTATAAAAATTAAAAAACTTTTTCAATGATATCAAATGTAATAAATAAGCATTGTATTGAATTAATATTAACATATATTTATAATAAATTCTTAAAACATATTTTAAAATTTTTTTTGAATTCATATTTTGAATTATTTTTTTTTAGAATATATTAACAATAAATATGTTAAAATGATGAATGATGATAATTCTACAAATAATAAATCATTAAAAATATATCTCCATTGTATGTTGAAAGATATTTGTAAATAAATATTTCAATTCTAAAATGGAAATAAATTAAAATATCAATCAATAAAAAAATATTAATTTTTAAAAAATATATAACATTAAAAAATTATATATTTAAATCTAATCACAATTATAAAAAAAATATGTTAAAATACAAATTATTTTAATATTTAAAATTTTTTTATTGTAATTACAATATCAAATAATTATAATTTTTTATAAAATTTTATTAAAAAATATTAAAAATTTACATAAAATATATTTTGAATAATAAATTTAAATGATTATATGTAATTTTTTTATATTGATTTTTAATCAATATCTTAAAAAATAGAATTTTTAGTGTCGAATTACATATTCTTTTATAGTTATAATCAATGTTTAATATTTTCCAATAATAAATAAAAATTATTATAGTAATAAAAATTTCATATATACATAATATCATATATTATATCATATATAATAATTATTTATAAATCATCATTAAGAAATGAAAACAAATTATTTTTTTTTATCTCTTGTTTCAACTTTCAATGGAGATTTTTAGTTTTTTTCATTTATTTATAACAAATATTATAAAATTATATCACATTCTGAGATACAATCGTTTTTTTAACTATAGTAATTTAATATAATAACGTAATACATAGTTATATCAAATATAATAATTAAGAAAATAATATTGGTCAATATGTACGTAGTTTTGTAATCTTTAATACATTTCTTTTTATAAATTTTAATATATGAATATTAATCTGAATATGAATCTGCAAATTTTCTCTTTTCCAGAATCCATAATTTTTGAAAAAATTAAAATGACGGAATTAAGATTTGGAAGTGTTCCATATTTTTATAGGAATAGTTATTCAGTTTTTTTATACGAAATGATTCTATGATGAATTTTCTTTAACAAAATGATATAAATAATAATTAAATTATCAACATCTAAATATTTAAATCATAATCAAAATTAATTGAAAGTATCTATCTTATTTTTCAATTTATTTTTATTTATTTCAATAATTAAAAGTTTTAAAAAAAAAATCTAATCATCATGTGATTAGAAGAGCAATTCTTCTGCTAAGAAAAAGAAATAACAATAACTATAACATTATATTTATTTTCAATATAGAAACGAAATAGTTTTCTAAAAACGCGTAGCAATCATACTCAATGATAATTCAATGATAATCGCCGACTTTCATATTATAATATGCAGTAGTAGAAGTGCTTGAATATTATCATCACATATAATATAAAATATGATAAAACAAATGAAAAAACATCAATAAAATAAAAAAAAATCGTAGATCAACTTTTTGGAACTCATTATAAAAAAGAAACTTTGAATGAGCTTAAAACAAATATTGAAAAAATTCTTTAAAGTCTAGAAATGTTTGAATTTGTAAAATTTTAAAAGAAAAAAACAACTTTAATTTTTCATTCTATTTCACAACAAAAAATGACTTTTTTAAAAAAATAAAAATAGGATTTTTATGCTTTAAAATAAATCCACGTACGGTATTATATGATTTCTTTCTATAAAACTAGTTCAAACTTTTCGAATAATTTTTAAGTCGAAATTTGATCATCGTTTAGTTTTCTGACATAATGATTATTAATATATTAAAATATATCTGTTATGATATTTAAAAATATTTCTTTATATATTATATATTATTAAATAAAGTCTAAAACATATAAAAAAATCTAAAAAATGTATAAGTATAACTGAAATGAAGGGAATAATAATAATTACAAATATCTAATAAAAAAACTTTATTATAAACGCATCATTAAAAAATAATTGCAGTATGTACAGTATGATATGACTAGTTACATAACAAATAGTGTAAAAAGATAAATTTCTTTTTTCAAGCAAATGATATTCTATTAAACATCGAGCAATACATAACTTAAATGACTTTAAAAAAATAATTTATAAATCTTTTCTAATCTTTTTTGTAGAACATTATTGTATTATTACAAATACAATCAAATATTTTATGCCGTGCAATATGAAAATAAAATGCAAAAATCAATGAAAGCTAAAACTCTGTTTTATGATATTAACAAATTTCCTATATTGTTAAAATAATTTTTCTTTTGCTCCTGAAACAGCGAACAATTATAAATTTTATATAATATTGTTTATAAACAATAAACAATCAATAACAATTGCTAAAAATCTCTAAGGATGAAAAGCTACTGGAGCAATCTTTACGGAAGGTTTAATAATAGCCAACGGTTCCCTATGAACAACCGCATTGAATCCATTCACAGGATCCGCTGTATATTCGACAATCCTTCTAGTACCATCAGCTTCAATAAAACTATAACTACCGCTCACTATATCGCCATTTCTGGTTTCTTGCTGGGATTTCGAGTCACCTGTTAAACTATCTTGAACATCGTAAGCATAAGTGTACTGTGGATGAGGATCATAATTAAATTCTGGATTCACGGATGCGAGTTTGGCCACTGGCACGGCTGGTAGAGGAACTGCAGATCCTTTGCATATTGCAATCACACCAATCGCCAACACAATAATTATTCGCTGAAAAATAATAGAGAAATGTTAAAAATATAAAATTTAAAAATGACAATTATGTATTTGACATTTGAAAATTTAACATTCTACTGTGTAATTAATAATATCTTTTATATGATATTTTTAATAAAAATATTTTTCTTATAAATTATATATATAATTTACAAAATATTACATATATACATATACATATATATATATATATAAATATTATATATATGTATAATACTTAAATATATTTATAAAATAAATCATAATTTTATTTATTATATATGTATATATATATTATATTATATATTATATATTATAATACTAATTTTATAGATATATTAAATATTATTTTCGAGTAAATTAATTTTATGAAACTTTGTATGAAGATTTGTATCATATATATATATATATATATATGTATGAATTTTTAATATTATTTTTATATATATACAATAGTATATATATTAGTACATATATATATATATATAATGTAGTATATTAAATATAATTTTAAATAAATATTAATAACAATAATTATAATCATATTAGAATATTTAAAATTTTTAGAAAAATATATGTTTCAAATTGACGTTCAAATTAACAATCGTATTGATAATATTCAATAATTTTTAGCAAAGAAATTAGAGAATTTTTTCTCAAGAAAATATAGAACGATATATAATATAGAAGAAATTATAATATATACTTTAATTGAAAACATATAATCTCTATGCAATATATAATATATTTGTTATTATTTTTATTTAAAAAATTTTGTTATTTTCTTGAAATTTCTTTAATTTAATAAATAATAAATTAAAAAAAATAATGATAAGCATATTTGCATCAATAATTTCATTTTTTAAGAAATTTTATAATTCTTTAAGTAGGAAAAAAAAGAAAACAGAAATCATCATATTTATCTAATCTATTTCTAGATTAGATAAATAATAATAATTAATAATGAATTTTTTAAACATTGATAAAAAAACATCTCTCTATATAAATTTTTTATAAAATTTTAATTATTTTGAATTAATCGATATTCTTTTAAATAATTTCCAAATTTTAAAAATATATATATAAAAATAATAAAAAATTAAAAGTATTATTATATTCATTATTTTTTATATAGTGTATTTAAAAACAATTAGTGTTTTTAAATAGTAAAAAACAAAAAATTTAGTGAAATCTAATTAACAAAATTAATCAACTATTATGTTTTTCTCTCACCTTAATAGCCATGTTTTGTATTTTGTATAATCCTATGAGTGAATGAAAGTCAAGAAGAAACTAACTTCGATTTAAAGTGACAAACGTATTTATAGGTAGTACTGGGTTGTCATTCGTGAGTGTATGTGAGTCGATGCTCTTCACAGCTCTCGATGCATTGCAAACAGCTTGGAAGGTATGTACGTGATATGTTTCCGACAGCAAAAGTTTCGCTCTCATTTTATTTTCTAACAGCTGCAGATTGAACATTTTTATATATTTGAGCAAATTTCGAATTTTATTATTGATTCCGTTCTTTTAAATATTAAATACATACGCATACGTATATTTCTATATTTGAAAACAAATGTAGAAATTTGTTAAAAATTAATAATTCATATATTATTTTATTATTTCGATATATATTTTTTAACGAAAAATATTAAAATTCTTTTATATAACATACATATATATATATAGTAATTCTTTGTAACAATATATGATCTTAAATATTAATGATATTAATAAATATATCTTTCACAAAACAATATTTATTACGATTATATATATTCATTTTTTTATTCTCTATTCGATATTCATAAAATTTTAAATAATTGATGCAAATAATACGTTAATATCCTTGACATTAAATAAATTAAAATACAATAGCACAGTATATTTTATATTATAAAAGATAAAATAGAAAAAAACATTAAATATATTAATTATTGTTTAAAATATAAAAATTTAGAGAAAACTGGAAGAATTCGGACAATAATTTTTCCTCTTTTTAAAACTATTGTGCTTTCACTGTTGCATAATTCCATATGGTTTTAGTCACAGTCGTAAGTATAACGTTTCCGTCATGTAAGTACGTGATACAAAGAATACTAAACACTCCGTTTGATGAAAATGATCCGCTTTGGAATACTCATATTTTGTTTTTCAATTTCTCTAATTTTTCGTTCGTTATTTTATTAAATGCTGGAACTATCTACTATACGGATGAAAAGCATCCACCATACATCTGATCTTTTTAAAATATAATATTTTACAATTTTAAAATAATTAAAAAAATAACTACTTAACATTATACGATCTTAATTTACGTCAATATTATTATTTGTAAAGAAAAAAAGAATAAAAATAAAATAAATATAATTTTTTTGTTTTTTATGCCTTTTTACACAACTATAAGAAAGAATTTAACTCGTAGATGCTTATTTTGATGAAATTTATGTGATGAGATATTATTTTTAAAAAAATAAACAAGTATTTTTTTTTTATTAGTTATCATATACGTTGAAAAGATGAAAATAGATCCTAAAGTGTAAAAATAATTTGTAAAAAAATAAATTGTAAAAATATATATTTGAAATATCAGAGGAAAGAAAATTTTTCCTGAATTATATATCTTTGAGTAAATTTGATTAATCAATTCATGCAAAATATTTGAAAATAGTTATTTGAAAAATATAAAAAATTTGAATTTTTTGTTAATCAATATCTTTATGAAATAATATTGTATAATTTATGAAATAAATTTTAATGTCAATGTATTAATACAATTTAATATAGCTAAAACTACATAAAAAATATAAAAAATTAGTATACAATATACAATTATACAAAATATTATACAAATAATAATTATACAAAATAAATATAAAAACTATATACAATATAAAACAACATATAAAAAAATCATGGAAAAAATTAAAATTATTTACTAATTTTATAAATACTATTGAATTAAATTTAATTTATTATAATTTTAAAAATTTTAATTAATTATAAGATAAAAAATAATTATAAAGATGTTCATATTTTAGATTTCGAATTTTCAATAGGCTCCATATATTATATGATTGCAAATTATATAATTTTTCAAACATTTTCACTAAATTAATAACAAAATTTTTCGAATAGTTAGTTTGTATTCAATTAATACAAATTGTAATAGTCGAAATCGAAAATAGTTTTTTTATTAAAAAATTAAAGTTATTTTAATTTTTATTAAAAATTTTTAATTAAAGTTATTTTAATTTTTTTCAATGAAATTGTATATTTTTTATAAAAATTAATGCAATTTTATATTTGTTTTAAAAAAATATTCGAATCTTAAATTAAAAATTGATCAATTCAGAAATCATTTTGTTGCGAATTATACATAGAAATTAGAAATATTCATTATTGATTCAGAAAATATAGTTGTTAATAAATTACTAATATCACTTTACAATACTAATATTATTAATGAATATATATAATAATATATATAACAAAATATCCAGAAAATAGTAAAAATATATAATAAATATACGTAGAGTCATATTTTATTAAATGTATATATGTTACAATTTAAACAGAAAAAGAATATAATTTATTTAAAATATCACTTGTTTTAAAAAGAGAATAAAATGGTAGAAGAAATTAATACATAGGAAGATTTAATATATTTTTTATATTTCCCATATTAAAGAATTATAAAAATTGTATGCTATAATATTATAAAGTGTTTTATGTAAATCACATCACAAATTTATTAAATTAAATTATTTTAAAACTATTTTATTAAAGAAAATACATTTTTATGAAAAATATAAATTTTTATATTTTTATATATTTTATTATTTATATAAAATTTTTATCATTGTGTATCACTGATTTTTATTAAAATATCATTAATTTTATGTGAAAATATATTCAATATTACATATAGATGTCAACTCTCATTGTTTTTAGTTTAAGATTAAATATTAGATTATTGTTTTAAAATTTCATGTTTAGAGAAGTATTACATATGTTAAAGCCGCAAGCGTGAACGACTTTGAATATTGCACAAATGCCTAAACTGGTATTATTGTTCGAACTATACTTACTACCGTAGGAACTATATAATCGTTTATTTAATGAGTTCTGAATGAATGATACTTTAACTCTTTTGTTAATTGTGTGATTCTAACTATGTTTTGATAAACTGTATCATCGCTGAAATCTACCTGTCTGTCTTCTATATCTACTCTAACTCGACTGCCCAAACCGCGAGTCTTGGTTTTTCCTCCAATCCTTGCATTTCGTGAAAATGCACACAGAGAGGGGTTAGAAGGATCAATCATTGCAAGGACGGTTTCGAAGGATAGCCCTCGCGATGTCGCGTCGCAGTGCGCGAGGATCAGGACCTTTGCTCTAGCTTCCACAGTAATCCATCATACGGCGTGCAAACGCCTACGCCTCCCTGTCATCCTGATAAGATGAAGCATCTTAGTTCACTTCTTCTTGATTGTTGCTTGGATCCGATGAGGATCCGTTGTCGTGTTTATTTATTATTGGCAGAATACATAGCTTCGTTGTTGACCGTTTGATGATGCCATTGGTAATTTTTACAGTGGCCACGCGCGGAATACCATCTGTGGTGAAGCTGTATAACTCTACCCATACACTATTGTAGAGGTGGAAAGTTTTCTTCTTGTATTATCACTAAGTCGTTTTCTCTTATAGTGCACATCGACTTGTGCCATTTATTTTTTTGCTGCAACTGTTGTAAATATTTCTTATATACTCCAGCGCTGTCAAAAGTGCTGAAATATCTGCTGAATTAGTTGATATCGGCCGAGGCGGTTAACTTTGATCTGGTATCGCGATGAATGCATCGTCGATCAGGAAATGACTTGGAGTCAAAAGATTCAGGTCATCTGGATTGGATGACAAAGCAGTGATAGGTCAGGAGTTTAAGCAAGACTTTATTTATACTAGCAAAGTGTATAACTTTTCGAACATCATTTTCTGCTTACCAATGACACGTCGCAGATAATGTTTGGTGAGCTTTACCCCACTCTGCCATAATCCACTAAAATATAGCGCGTATGAAGGATTCAGGCACCATTCTATATTATATCTTTCTAATGTATCTGATACATTGTGCTGCTTTCAAAAGCATGCTTAATTCGTAAAGCTCATTTTGCACATCTTTAAAATTTGTGCCGTTGTCTGAAACTATTCTGTACAATCCTCTGCGAGTTATAAACAAAAATGCATAAATATGACTTCACTATAGTCTTATTACGGGTCCTCTCATGTGTTGGAAATGGACCTGTGTAATCAGGTAGAAAACGGCCTGGTCGGCGTTACTTCAACCGCAGATAGCTAATCCATAGAATTACGCATTCTAAAGATCATGGCTTTGCCCTAAAACATTTTATATATTTCCGTATGATATTTTTTATTTTTTTACCGAGGATTGGCAAGTTATGGATCAATGTTACAATGACGCTACTGTTTGTTGATATATTGCATGTAACAATCTAGTGTGTTCGTTCCTTACTACGATTTCTGTAAATGGCTTAGGGGACAATACTACAGGATGTTTTTTCTGGAAGTGGATCTTTGCTGAATTTTAGTGGCTTGCCTAAAGTTTTTAGACATAATAACTCGGCTGCTCTCTGGAAAAGGTTTGGCGCATCGAATTCTACTATCTCTCGTAGTACTTGCGTAGTTAAAAATAATGCAGACGCAATATCATATGTGATAATTCATACGTGCTATCTGGGGCATTCCGATTCGATCTTCCTTTTATTTTTTTTAATATTTATTATCCGAAAGTTTAGCAAGCTGTTTATATAAATTACTGTTTCTAGCTAAGTTATATTTGACGCATTTCGGAATCTGTCATGTTATGCCACGTGAAAATGCTACCGAACATCCAGCCGAGTTGGGTCTTTCGCCAGAATAATCGAGAACCTGCCCCGATAAGCATATCTATTTTTGTACATTCTTGAATTGAGGATCTACTGATATCCATGAAGACTGATCTGATAAAGGCTGATGATCTTTTTTTCGTTAGCAAGAGATTTGGTAATTCTATCGTAATTTTGTTATGGCCAGGCAAGAAATGTTGGCACTAAAATCGTTATATCCGAAAGAGATTATTGACTGTTTTTCCTGATACCGAGTTAACTGAGCCTCCGATGCTCGAAATATTTAATTTCATATGTTTATATTTTATCCCCAACCTTTTACATAATTCCTGGGTGATAAAATTGCATTGAATCTAGTAGAACTCGGTATTTCTATTTTTTATCTCGGCTGTTCTTCACGAAAACGACCGGTGTTGACAATATCGCATATTCCTTAGAAGGAATAGATTGCAACATTTGTGACGCAGGATATGACTAATGGGGTATCCTTTGCTAAACTATTCTTTTGTGGCTCAGGACTTTCCATCGAAGAGGCCTTTCAAAGCTCTTCCTGAATATTTGTGCCGATGTAATAACGTGTGATGCTTGCGTCCGCACGTCTTACAAACTTGACGCGTACACGTCTTCACGCGATGTTCCGATTGTAAACAATTGAAACAAAGTTGCTGTACGATTTTTATTTTTTCGTATATACTCAACTCTTTAAATCTTTTACATTGTAATAAAGAGTTGTTGGACAAACTGGACACGCGGAGGAAGCACTACGTTGCTCGTTCTGGTTGACGCATCGGAGGACTCATTCGACGTTGCTAATTATATATTAAACATTGCTGTTGATTATTCGTTAGAATATCACGTTGCTGTTAATTATCCGGAAATAAATCTCTAAATATGTAGCTCGTGTTTCTAGGAATTGATAGAAATCTTTGAACGTAGGATTGCGCTTCAAAGCTAACGCTCGTTCTCGCCATTCGCCTAACATTATTGAATCTAATTTCCTCATCAAAATCACTAAAATCATGGTATTCCGCCAAGATATCTCATCTAATTTCTCCAGTGCGCGAAGATGATTTTTTGCGTCATCAATGAATTCTCTTATAGCGATGGAAGATTTGTTTTTGATGGCTGGCAATTCTAGAAATGCACCCGCATAGTAAACCGAAAGATTCGCGATTTTTTCATAATGGTTTTGTAAACTCTCCCAAGCTACCTTGTAATTTGCTTCGGATACGCCCAAGAATTGGATCGTGCGAGCAGCGTGATTCTTTAATGACATTCGCAAATAATGGAATTTTTACAAATTCAAAAAAAGATTCATTATTCTGAATTAATGACACAAATTTGTCTCTGAAACTTATCTAATCCTTGGCAGATCCATCAAAAAGTGGCAAGTTTATTTGGAGTAAAATTGCTGGAGACTGCTGCTGAGAGAAGAGCGTAATCGAATGACGGAACATTCTTTTCTGTTTTTTGACGTACGCGTACGTCTTATATAAAATCCTCTATCTTAGATATTATATTGAAATACGTGTTTTCAAATTCGACAAGATGAGCTGTGTGTGATGATTTTGACTCGATCTCTTCAACAATTTCCTCTATACTTGTTTGAATATGTACGTATTTGTCGTACAAAGAACTACACAATTCACATCGTTTTCTGATTTCGGTAAGTGTAACTGATTCTTTGAACTCTTCGAAGAATTTCCTAAACCTCGTCAATGAGGCCTCATCAACGACGTTCATTGACTAGTGATTTTAATTGAGCTTTCATCTCTGTTAGTAGTGTAGGATTTGCTTACCGGAATTAAACAGGAGATTAAATCGACGATGCTGAAGTTAATTACAGTTAGAATGCTGGCTGATGCGATACCGTCTGATGCTGAATCGGGAGTTCGATACAACTTCTCACTCTGCGTTGATCTTCCTTTCAAGTCGAATCAGTAACGTACTGATAGTTCTCTGATACTGGAGTGAATCCTTTCTTGATAACAAGGATTCTTGATTGCTATTCACCACTGTTCACTGTCTACTGAATTGAGCTCACCTTCGAATATTCACTCTTTGACTATATCCGGCTATATCTGGCTCGAAGGACCAAATGTTAAAGCGGGTACGAATATTGCACAAATGGGATGCCTAAACTATTATTATTGCTCGAAGGACCACTTACTACCGTAGGAACTGTACAATCGTTTATCTTATGAACTCTGAGTGAACGAATGGTGATATTTTAACTCTTTTGCGGCTAATTATGTGATTCTAACTGTGTTTTGATAAACTGTATCATCGCTGAAATCTACCTGTCTGTCTTCTATACCTACTCTAACTCGACTGCCCAGACCGCGAGTCTTGGTTTTTCCTTCAATCCTTGTATTTCGTGAAAATGTACACAGAAAGAGGGATCAATCATCGCAACGAAGAGCGGTTTCGAAGAATGGGCTCTCGCGAGATTGCGTCGCAGTGCGTGAGGATCAAGACCTTTGCTCTCGCTTCCACAATGGTCCATCACATAGCGTGCAAACGCAACTTGTGAAGTGGCCGTTGCTGTAGCATCTGCTTAAACTAAGATCTGGAAAACGTTACGAAAACCATGTCCGCTCATAAATTAATGCTAAGCTAACTATTGACAGGTATTCGAATTGTTGAAAATAAAGCAGGAGCTAACCATTTCATAAGCCTGGATCTTAACAATATATATGTATGTTAAGAAGATATACATATAGTCAAGAAAAATTTGATACATTATATTTTCTTAAAATAACTTAATCTATATATCTATATAAATACTCTTCAGCAAACAAATTTGTATATTTTAATAGATGCTATTTAAACAGTTTAAAAATTGTTAAATAAATTCATCTAATGATATATTAAAAAATACTATACTAAAAGTTATTTATGAAAATAAGCTAATAAAAATTACGATTAAAAAATATAAAATCAATAAAATTACAAATGTATTTAATTATACATCAGATGTATAATTAAATATAAAAATAATAAAAATACAGTTTTTTATCCAAATTTCATAACATGATAAATATTTACAAACAAGAAAAAAAATTATTAATAGAATATTTACTAACTTCAACAAATCTTAATTATGGTTTTTATGTTATGTTATGTAGTATGTATATATTTATGTTAATGTTATAGATTTTGAAAATGACACAGACTATTGAGAACATATATGAAACCGAAATGAAAATGCAGCTTGTATTTATTGCAATTTTTTATATTCACGTTCAAAGCTAAATACACATTGAATTCAATGTCAAATATATTCTAAATAATACACAATGTACTGGTATAACTATTCAAACAAAATTATTTTATTGTGAAATTTGTACGAAATAAATTTTTTGTTTTTTACATCTCATGTCTTTCACAATTATACATCAAATATCTATAGATTTGAGACATTTTACATCATTTACAAATTTTTTAAAATTTTTTATTTAAATTTAAAAAATTTGTTTTGTTAAAGAATAGAACTTTGAATGTAATATAAAAAAATTATTAAAATATTATTCAGTTTCTTTTATACAATCTTTTTTTTCAAAAATGTAATCAATTTTTCTCAGTTTCTAATCTACTATTCATAATTACGAATTAATAAAATTTTACTAAAAATAGAAGAAAAAAAAAATAAAAAAAAAAATAGTGAACATAATAATCTTATCATTTTTTTTAAATTAATTGTTAAAAGTTGTCAAAAAATTTAAAAATAATTTCGAAATTAAGAAATTAGATTGATTAATATTACATATCAATTTTTTATTATATCAAATATATCATAGTAAAATAGTATCATATAAAAAATATTATATAAAAAGAATTTAAGAACAAATTATGAAAAAAATCTAAATATGTTATAAATAAAACAAAGTTTTGAAACAATGTATAGATAAAACAAACGATTTATTATTGCATGAATATAATATTATAATATATATAAAACTATATATAATATATTCATATATTTATCTTGTATGTATATATTTCTGTATATAGAATGAAAATATTGGAAACACAATAATTGATTTATATTATAATAAAAAAAAATAAATAAATATATATTCCATATGATTTTGTTTTTGAATTACAATTTTATATTTTATATTGTAATATTCACATATTTTCAAAAAAATTGCATCTTCAATTTTACTACAAATATATAACATCAATATATCAATATATATAACATTAATAAATAATAGATTTTCAAATCTATTAAGTTTCCTAAAAGAATTAATATTTCGAAAATGCTCATATTTTGAAACATGTTTTCCTCGAGCAAACAGCAATTTTTTAGAAATCATTCTATATAAAGACATTCAGTTCGTCAGCATTATATAAGTCTATATATAAGGTACATGCCAATTTTTATTTCATAGTTGTAAAATGATATCTTATTTTCATGATATAGAAATTTGATGAAATCAGAAATTTAAAATATCTTGCTACTTTCTTCGCAAAAAGTATATTAAATACTTCATTCGTAATATAATACTTATAAGAAACTCGAATCGTACAAAAAAACAATAAGCTAATATTAACTTTTATATATATATATATATTTACACAAAAATTGCTACAAAATAAATTGTAAAACAAAGTCATATTTAACATATATTTATATGAATTTTTCTCCTTAATTTTAACATAATCAAATTAATTTTTGTCATACTTTCTACACATTTTGAATTATCATGAATATGTAAAATATATAAATATTTTTGAAAAAATCATTAGAAAATAATATATAAAAAAAACTTCTCTAATATATAAAAAAAATTTTATATGATTTTCAATATTATTTAAATTACATATTTTTTGTATTTTCGTTGAGAGAGAAGATATTTATTTTAATTTGTTTCAAACAAAATTATTATTTAAGTAGTAATATTATTATTATTAAATATTGTATTAAAAACTTATGTTTTTTATAAATTGAAATATATTATATGGTAATTAAATAATAAATTTCAATAATATTCTACTTTATTAAATATTACAATTTTATAATTCAAATAAAATGTAGAAAATATAAAATATTTTTTATATTATTGAAATATAAATAATTTAAAAATTATTCAAATATTTTCAAACTACTATAGCAACCTCATTTTTGTACAACAAATATAAATATATTTATTAATAATAATATGGACTTTTTATGTTATTGTTTACTAATAAAATTGATTATTAATATTATATAAAAAAAATAATTATTAAATAATTATTTATATTTTGGAAATTTACCTTATATATTTTTGTTGATATAAATTTTTTTATATAAAATTTTATAGATATCTTGTTTTATTAAGTAATTAATAATATAAATAAATGTGCATTTTCCAAAATTATGGCCATGTAATTTTCTGTCTTTTCTTTGATGGTGCTCCCTACAAAACATGTGAAAATTTTTATGTAAATTTTTTATAAATATATTATATTTATTAAGTGATATTTATTATCATTTATTTATATTACATAATTCTATGATTCATTTATTAATATTATGTCATTTATAGTATAATATATCTATTATAAATTTAAAGTAATATAAACTTAAATTTTCCAGTCCTATATCAAACTAAACTAATATTCTATTTTATTTGACTATGTCTTTTCAATTTTAAGACAAAAATGTATTCATTTAAATTATAATTTGATTTCTTTATATAAATAACAAAAATATATCAATAACATTTCATTTGAAATATTGTTAAATTAATTAGAAAAATATGAAAATATATCAAAATTATAAATAATTTTTTAAGTTGAAAATATCTTATTAATTATAAATACTTTAAAATAAAATATTATTCAGACCAAGAAGAATCAAAATAAAGAAATTTTTAAAAATAAATATTTAAAAATAAATAATAAAGAATTGAATTGAGAGAAATCGTTTAAAAAATAAAGATCAAGTTAAATAATTAAATAACTAATAAATATACCTACATCATATTTTTCATCATTAACATGTTTGTCAATACCATTACATTTTGTAAAATTATTTGAATTATTCAAACATATTTTCTTAGAAGTTTGTTTAATTTCATTTGTAGAAGATTTTGATTTCATATAAGAAGATTCAGGCATTTTTGTTATTTCATTAATATATATTTTTGTACTATTTGTACCATTCCTAAAAAAAATTTGTGTACTTTTCTTATTAGAAATTAGAAATATAAAAATATTACATAAAAAAGAGAGAAGATAAAAAATAAAATATAATAGCAATTATAAGAACATAATAGAAGAAAATTTCCTATGATACATATAAAAAAAGATACGAGGAAAAGACAGAAATTTGATAATAAAATTTCATTACAAAAATAAATTATAGATAAAAGATTATGTTGTAAAATATTTGGAAAGGAAGACAAAAATATATAATATGTTTTAAAGGAATAAAATTATAAAACTAATGAAAGAGTTATATGAGATAAAAAAAACAATACAAAAATTAAAAAAAAAAGAAACAAACAAAAACTAAAAACTGATAAAAACTAAATACATAAAAATAGTAAAAGAATGAACAAATGTTTATATAATTATTTTTATTATAAGATTATTATCAAGTATTATATAGTTTATATATTGAATTTTATCTATAGTACTATAATTTATTTTTGAATATAGGCTAAGTTATGTTAAAATATTATATACAATGCAAATGTGTAAAGTTTATATGTGAAAGTTGTCTTTAATACTTCAATTAATATGAAATAATTTATATTTTAAATAATATAAATATTTTAAGATTAAAGATATATATTTTAAGACTAAGATTAAAAAATAAAAAATAGCATAAAAACTAAGATTTATATAATTATTCTTATTATAACATTGTTATCATAATACTATTATAGTTTATTTTTTATAACTATTAAATTAAAGAAACTATATGATATATAATATAGATTATAATACAATGATATATAATAATTTATGCTCTAAATGATATAAAGTTAATTAAGTTGTTTTCAAAATAAGTTCTAATAATTAGGAAATTAGAAAATAAAAAGTTTAGTAATTCTGAAATAATGATATGTTGTAATTAGATTCCAAATGATATATCATTTATAAAATCAAAAATCATCTTAAGATTAAGAAATAAATAATAAATATTATACAAAACAAAATCTATATAAAAATGTTAAATTATATAAAAATTATATTAATATATACATATGAATTAAAAATATGATACATAATAATAATCATCTTAATCATCTATCTCATTAATTATTTATAATTTATTTTAAATATATTCTTTTATTATCAATATATTGATTGCTAAAAATCTTAATGTTATATTTATTTATATTAATAATATTTAATATATTGTAAAAATTGAAAATTTAAAAAAAATATCTTTATATATATGATAGTTTTATAATTGTAAATATTCCCTTATTTTGTTTCTAAATTTTACAGATTCTAATAAAACTCTTATAGTCTAATAAAACTTTTAATATAAATAAGACTTAATTATATTAATTAAATATAATTAATATAGCAATCAATATATTAAACATTTATTACCTATAAAATTAACTTATTTATAAGAAATAAACATTTTTAACATATATATATATATCATAATTATTTATCATATATATATTTATCATAATTAAAATTTTAATATTTTATTAGTTTATAATAAATAAGTAACTTTATAAATGTTTTACTTACAATGAAATTGAATTTCTATATAATTCATTATCAAAATGTATTGCTTCATTATGTCCTTTTATTTCTGAATTTTGCGTACTTTCAGAATGTCTTTGAGGTAATGGTAATGCCACCCGTTTATATAGTTCTATTAATTCAAATCTAGATAAATTTTTATAGTCACTGAAGTCAATACATCTCTATAAAATAAACAAATATTTAAATAAATCTATTATAAATCTATTATATATTTATATACATAAATATATATTTTTTTAAATAAATTAATAAAAGATATATGTATTAATATTAATATCAAACTAATAAATAATTTAAGAATTTTATTTTTTAATTAAAGCCTAAAATAATTAAAAAAAAATAATCGTCTTTTAACAATATTTTTTTGCAATTCTTTATATTGCAAAAAAGAATAAAATTATTGAATACAAAATAATTTAGATTTTTAAATATTTACTTAACATTATTAAATATTTATAATTCAATATTTTCAATTTAATATAAAAAATTAATTTTTTAAAATTTAATTAAATCGAAAATTGTCAATAAACATAACCTGTTTAGCTTACATTTTCTAAAATTTCCTTAAGTTGAGAATCTGACAATGATTCAGGATGAGTTAATTCATACATTCCTAATGTCGACATTCTGCTAAATATTTAATTCACTAATAAAAACTACTGTACTATATTAAGTGATCATTTGACAATTCACAAATATGATACTATTTAAATATTAGTTATGCTTATCATTCGTTATTTAATATATATATATATATATATATATATATATATATAT